TCTCTCTCTTTCTCTCTCTCTCTCTCTCTCTCTCTCTCTCTCTCTCTCTTTCTGTCTCTCTCCCTCCCTGCCTCCCCCTCTCTCTCTCACTAGCTGTCTATTGCTATCTACCTAGTATTGCGTTGTTAACAGATGCCATGGATAACGCTCGCACGCCTCGACACACGTAAGCATAAATCTCATTTCGTTTCCATTTTCAATTCTTATTTTTTATTTTACAACGGGAAAATAGACATTCCAGCAACATTTCATGATAAACCAAAATCCTGTTTTCGTGATAAACCTCTCGTAACTACTTGCAAATATGACGGACATAATGCTGCAAGAATACCTACCACTACCAGTAGCAGCCAGGCAAAAACAACCATTAGAGATCATGGAGATATATAAGAAGTAAATAAATAGTTCCTCCTCAAATGCATACTAATATAACATGAAAATGTAAAAAAAAACTTTTTAAAGAGAAATTAATGCGCTCTTCGAGAAAAATGTAAATTCCTTCAGTTTTTTTACCACAGATTTAGAGCACTCTGCATATAGAATAAAATATTGTGCAAATATCACAACTAGGTGGCGCTAGTATTCTGGCAAATATTTCTTCTCGGCCGCTTGAAGTTCTTCGTCGTTCTGAAGACGGAAGATCTCTTTCACCTGCACCACCTGGTGACAATAAATTCCTGATAAGACATCACCACAATATAAAATATGCAGAGCGAGTTACAAAAATGGCAAGATTTCATGCTTCAACTTTCTGGCATTCGCGTGGAGCATTGCATGAGTTACCATAAAATCGTCAACCAGAATTTTTGTCTCATCTTTTCGCTAAAATCTAGGATTCTATCGTAATAATATACATTGTTTTAGTCGATATTTTAAACAATTGGTTACAACGGTTACAATGGTTACAACGAGTGAACCAGCTTTACGGTACACGCATTTGCGAAACGAAGACGCCTCTACGAAATTGTACATTTAAGAACACCACGTGAAAACGCAGAAGCAGTGCTGCTAGCTCTATAGCTGTATATAACAACCTTTCACTTCGCGACAGACTGCGTGATGACGCACATGAATGATTGAGGTAAGAAACATTAAAAATAAATAAATGTTACTAAAGGTTTTAACGAGGGTGACACGATTCTATGATATTTAGGGGGAGTGAAATAGCCAGCCAAATTTTCGACTGGCCATAACGAGCTTAGTGACTATGCTTATACTATAGTTTTATTAGTTGCCGGATTGTTGAGAGCATTAGACTGCGTGGGTCAATCACCGCGTTTTGAGAATTTTAGGAAATGCTTTTTTCCCGAGAAAATGTATCCAAAACCCACCATGTACATAAACCCGTCGCTGCATAGGCCTACTTCTCAAAATGGTAAAGTAACAACCTGTATTTTCCCCGCTCGTTCAATTTTCGGCACATAACAATACCCGATGAAAATGCCTTGCACGCGTTTTTTTTTTTCATTCAGAAGGCCTCTTTACATTTTTGCACTAAAAGCCTTCACAGTGGGTCAGTTTGTACCGTCCATTACACGGAGGCGAAACACATCCGCAGTATTGATCTGTCTGTTTGATCAAATCTATCTTCCCGTCTTTGATGTAGTTCCTTAGACTATAGGCAAACTAAAATTTACGAGATTATACATACTCGCTCCCCTTACACCCACTCCCGTCGCAAAACACGAGTCCTTTATAGAGTATTTTAATGTCTCTCTGTCGGCGGCCCCTATATCCTTTTTCGATTACCGATTTCACGTGTATTTCGTTTATCGGCATCCATATTTGCATCTTACCTTTTGCTCGACGGAAGCTATTGACTGCTCGGCGTGGATTTTATCACACACTTCCTTCATGGCGGTAACCGATGCCCGAAGGTTGTGATTGGCCCATATGACGACGGACACGCCCATGTCCTGTAGGTGTCGTGTAGGTACGTCGAAGTATTTAGTCGGCACGACAATAACCGGTCCCTGTCGGAAATATATAGAAAGTTGCGACCGGAGTGCCTTTTATTCATGCGCGGACGCGCTCACAAAGGCATGCTCTAACTTGATACGTCCCCATGCACCCCCACCACCACCACCACGACCTAACACGAGTGGGAAGGCAATGCAGCCCACGCGTGAACGACTAGCCCGATGATTTGCGTTATTAATTATTATTAATTGTGGAGTTATTAATTATTATTAATTGTGGATAGAAGAATAGCGTTTCCCTGCCAATTAAATCCCCGGTTGACAAGATTTGCGTGCAACGCGATGCGACAAATAGTCGCAAATTGTCGCAAATTGTTCGCACTAATTATCGCCGCATCTCACGTTACGTCATCTCCGCCGTTTCACTTGAAGTTTCTTTATCGTGTTGCTATTCGTATGAAACCGTTACATCCATCTGTGTGTGTGTGTGTGTGTGTGTGTGTGTGTGTGTGTG